AAACTACAAGTATTATGTAACAATTAACAGGGGTAAAATAAAGTAGTAAAATAGGATAGTATTTTTATTATGTCTCCGATAGAAAGTAAAAAATTCGACTATATGCGAAATGTTTTAACACAAAGAATTTAAAAGATAATTTCGATTAAATCAGATTGAATGTATAACCTATTAATAGGGACTACATAGTTAACTTGACAATCATCGGTAATCAGGAATTGCATAGATAGTTAATGCATAATTATATTAGAAAGAATAAATAGTAATAATGGTAAATGTTAACATTTCCTCCTCGTGGTTTCCTCTGTTAATTTCTGGTAACTCTGATACATTTCTATATTTACTTACTCTTACTACTAGATTCACTTATTCACTATTCCTTTTTTTATACATTTATAAAAATAATGCACATATTTAGATTGTGAAATATCCATTATTCCCAAAAAAACAAAGTACCTGGCATAGATCTAGTTAAGCTCTGACGGTATATTAAGAAAAGTAGAACAACAACTAAGCCGATGTAGCAAGTCAACGGCTTCCATTCAAAATGCATTATGTTACGAAAACTTATAAATGGATGTGACATTACATACAAAAACATTAGGAACTGTGAACTGACCCGTAAAGTATCTCACGTGATTACTCAACAGTAAGGTGACCATAGAGTTTAGAAAAAGTAAGTAAATTGTCAGACATAAACCGATAATCCAATCTGTATCCTCTTTATCTTATCATTGTTAGAACTATTGTTATAGTATGTATTTTTTATTAAATTATTATTGGTATAAGTACTAGAACTACTAGGCTGTAGTCAGGCTTACACCATAGAATCTGAATCTATCTTGATTCTCTAACTTCTTATATAAATAAAATTAGAGATTAAATCATTATTGAAAGCAAAACCAATATGTGAATTAGTTTATTTCAAGTATTGGAATAGGAGAACTTGCTCGTATTCAATCCTAGGTACCTTAAAAGTACGCTATAAAAATTAATTGAGGTTGAAATAAAAAAATATCGGAATACGCATACTGTTTCAACATTCCGGTCATGAACCTCAAACGGACGCACTAATTATTATATTATTTATGTTCACCTTTGCAAGTGAGAAAAAAGAATTGACTGGTTATTTATTTGACTTGTTACTTCATTTTTTGTAATACTTCATCATTTTCTTTATGCAAATTAAGAGGTTAATTTTTTTCGGGTCTTTGCCCGGTCTTGTTGGACTTGTATAGAGGGTTAAAGGAATTCATTAGTAAAAATATTTGGTATATTTAATGAGTTTAAATACACATTAAATATACATATATGTATATTATATATATTTAGCGAAAATTTCCTTCGTGTGTAACATATACACAGAGTTAAATCTCTGTGTATATGTTACACAAATATACAACCAAGTTCTGTCAGTGTTACAATCACTGACAGAACCTTAACACTAACACATGGAATCAGAAAAGCATATGAAGTAGGATTCGCGTCGGTCAAACAGATTTTAAATATTTATTAGTTAAATGTATATTCGGGAAAAATAAAACGGATGGTGATTCTACATAAGAAAGATACCTATGTTCGGAAACGAGCGGTTCCGCTTCATAATGACAATATAAACAATAGCGTTGAAAAACGTTGCCTACGAGCATTAAAGGTTGTATTCTTGAAATAGCGATAGCGACACCTACCTATAGAAGAAAAAAAGTGGTTTATTAACCCATCCTACACAAAACTAAATATAGATTTTTTTCCGTTGCAGTCTATTATTCCATATAATTTAAAATATTTTATATTTTGGATCCACAAATACATTTACAAATTTCATTAATGTTAATATAATCTGTGAATATAAGATAATAATTAACATTCAGACCTACTTCATTACATAAACATGCGCTTTTAAACTATATATGTATTTATAAAAAAAATTGCTATATTATTATGATAATTTAAGTTAAGTATACGTTCTTTGTAAATTTGTGGGGAAAGTATACTGTAGGTTTAATAATATCAAATATACTGTTCTAGTTATAAAAAAATATCTTCTATTGAATAACTTTTGGAGCAAATTTTTTATCATTTATAGGTTTACAATATTTTACAAAGGAGTAATGCAGGCTTTATTTTCATTTTTTTATTTGTAAATAGAATAAAGATATATATTTTGAAATCATTTATACGATGTGTGTGATGTGATGTAATCACGGCCAATTTCGGCCACGGCGGCTGTCGTCAACTCCGGTTTTATTTATATAATAAAATAATAATACAAAAAAATAAAAAAATCTCTATCACTTGGTAATAGTGTTCTCATACATCTAGTGGTATGTACGCTAAAATTTATGACAATTGTGTACAAGTATTGTGAACTACGACATTAGTATCTACCACACTGATGACTATGTTAGTAATAGTTGTTGTAACTATTATTAATATTGGATGGGGATGAATTTAATTAGCTGAAGCTTAATTTATTTATTAAAAAAATATTCACGTACGAAGAGTCAAACGTACATATATTTAAAGTTTCTTTGTAATATGTTGGAACCGTATAATTATTCATATCCTCTAAGCATAAAGCCTCGATTTTCTATTGTTGTTCATTCATTGCAGAGTTGAGGTTGCAGCAATTAGGTATTTATTATTAGGAACTTAGTAAAACGGAAACCTTGGTAAAAATACTAAATGAATTTACATATCCATGAGCCGGTGTCTTTTTCTGTGATTGATGATTAATTTAAATTAATGATTTTAAATCAGAAATTAATAATATAATATTAGAAGGTTCCAAAGTACCTACTCATTAACATACTGGGTATTGTCGCGACTGATATTATTTCTATTCCCTCTCTAGGTGAATTTGAATGTCTTTAATTAATATTACATTACATTAAAATTAAAAGCGTATATTTCTCTGTGTATATTGTACTTTATTCTTCTGGAGATTTTTTGATTATTTGACGAGTTTAGTTTTGTAATTTAAATCTCGCTATATTCAGTTTTTTTTTATATTATGTAATTGAAATGCATTGCAACTTAACAACGTCCAAATAAAGCGTGTAGCTCAGTTTAACCAATTTAAGGCTATAATTTAGTTTGTTATAGTTGATTAAAATATCGCAACTCTCATTGGGTTCTAAAATATTTTAAATATCAATTAATTCACATTTGTACTACTAATATTCAGTTTCGTGATTAATAGTGACAAATAAATAATCCTTTAGAAGAGATATATATATAAAGGTTTACGATTTCAAAATGTAGATAATATTTTAAACACTTATAGTAAGCGATGATCGTGTAGTGCGTTAATTTTTCAAACACGGGATTACCGATATACATATTATATAAGAGATATTTTAATGCGAAACATATATTTAAAAGAATATTTACATATACTAATACAATATAAAAGTTTCCATATAATATTACCGATAATATTAGTTTTGTTAATGTTACAGGTGGAGTTAATATTTTTTTAAATTCTGACATAACAATCGCTTGTTATAGTTGCATTGAAGGTATATTTTTATCTGATCTTGGTCTAGCTGCTTAACAATATAAGAGGTAATATTGCACTCTAACAATCTTACAAAAAGTGAACAATTATATTCAACACAATCTACCATTCTATCTATAGAATTGGCACATTGAAGTCTATAATACAAAGGAAAATGAGATTTTTGCCGCAGTGATTGAGACTACTATTGTTTATAGTTTCTCTATAATAATTTTTGTAGATTCATTACGGTGTTATCAAATATAAAAATTTTGCCACCACTGAGCATCTGGGTCGGTCCGATTGCTGTGAACAACATAATTAATAAGCTGTAATGCTCGCAAATTATATTATTGTATTTGTAAATAAATGAATATGCATTGAAGTATATCGAGTATTAAAATAATAAAGAATATGTATTTTACAACTATAATAAATTTTACAAAGATATTTAACGATCGATGAAAAACATATTGAAACCTTTTTCAGTGAATTGACTTTTCACAAAGGGACGACGCCGCGGCGTTATATACTGCATAGTATAGTTATATACTACATAAAATTTCATCCCCTATAAAAGCATTCCTAGTTTTGTTTTTGAAATATGATAAAATTGATACAATCTATGAACCTATACATATAATTTAGAAAAATCACAGGATCTTACCATGCCTCACTCAATATTAATAAGTTCCCGAAATAAGACATGGTGTCGATGAATTTCTTAATTTTATGTATAAACCAGCGACTTCGCATGGGTGCAATGCTGATCTAAATATCTAATAACTATTACCTTTTACAAAATGCAAATAAACAATAATTCCAGTGTCAAATTTAAAAAAAATATACAATCCATTAATCTGTCTTCATGTCAAATTTTAGTAGGTTCGTTGCCTTTTCAGGACTAAACATTCTGTTTAGTCCTGAGAAGGCAACGAACAAATAATGTACTACTATCGCATTTATAAAATTAAGTATGAATATATGAAATTTAAAGTTAGTTTAGTAAATGTATAAGACAGGGGTGTTCCAAATCTTTATTTGCAGTGGGTCATTGTCAGGTAAAGCGAGACGATTTTATTTAGTGTGAAATTGGCCGCTAATGTTCTTTGTCTCTTTTGCAACTAGTATCTGAACAGTTTTGAATCGGGGTTGCATAAGTTTTTTTTTTGCAATACAGTCTCGAACACTATGACACTTTCCTTGAATTTTGACTCGTATTTCAAGGTGTTTCAAGTTCGCATCGCTGTCAATGTACAATCTCGCTTAAATTATTATTTATCTATATTGTAAATCTTATCCAGTCACGGAAATGCAGAGGTGTTTATTTATCATATTAATTAAACGGGTAACATAACATTGCAACCCACGTTTTCTATAAATTATTAATAATTACCATAAAAGTACACAAAGCAAATATTGCGCAAAGTATTTCCTAAAAACTTTTTTCTAATGCTGTTTAAACAACACAGATATATATTTCATAAAATCGGTTACTTACCTATATTTTTAAATGCCTGCTTAGAATCGCCCGTAGGAACAGCTGTTGCAGTGGCAATAATTAAAAACAAGAAAGGTATCCTTGCACTTGCACCCATTTTTATAAAAGTCACGATTTATTGTCTTATTATTAAATTATTTATGTATGTATATAAAACAATTCGCGATATATTGACGCAACTATTTCCCGCGTGCATTCGGTAACATTTGCGTCGCATATACGTCCGTAATATTCCACGTGCTGTTGCAGACTAAACCACTGTATTGTACTTTCTACTAGCTTTATGCTCAAGCGCAGCATAATACTGCACCCGCACTGCGCGCCATTGTGATTGCGCTTTCCTATCGATTGTGTATACGACTTTGCGATTCATATGCATTGCAAAACGGTTATTAACCTCGGAGCAAATATTTTTTTATGTATTAATTATAAAAGACATAATATTCATAATAGAACTTGTATACAAAGTGTAACAACAAGCGTAATTTCGTTATATTTTGTTCAAAAAGATAGGGAGGACTTCTTGCTTGGTTTAAATTTTATACGAGTATATTTAATTGATACAGGTAACAAATTTATACGGCTTGGTTTACTTTCCGACTATGAGAACAAAGATTGTGACTTAAAATTTGGCTTACAACAAAGAAAACCTTCGTGTGTCATTACATATTTCTAACCAACACTCAAGTGATGAAAACATCAATAACAAATCAAATATGCTTTCACAATAACGCCGGCAGTTATCAGCGCTTCTGACTACATCTATTGGGATAACAGTCGTAAATGGTAAAGGTTGAGTTTGTTTACAACTTGTCGAGCCGTTATATGGCAAAATAAAAAGCTAATAATTCAACATACCAAAATAGCTTTATGCGAAATAGAGTTAAAAATAATAATTGGAGATATAGCAGATGGTTAGAAACATTGAATAAATTAGAAGAATATTCTCTTTTAATTTAGATACTCTTGTATTTAAGTTTATTATACAAAAACTAATCAAAACAGCTGTAATTATATAATTTTGTACTTTTCTTTTTCTAAAATATTAATTACCTATAGTATTTTAATACAGATCACTATTATTTTACAATAACTAATTGTTCCTTGTTGTTTTCATTGTTAATAACAAAAACTAAAATTTATCATAATACTCACATCCTACCTGTTTTCATCATGATAACAGTCAATCATTGCAAGTTACCTTCACGGATTTATAATTACATTTTATAATTTCGAAAAGTAATACGTAAAGTGCGCTTTTATAGATATTTTACATACATTACATAAAGAGGGAACTGACTTTGTTATGAGGGAAATAAACTCAGGAACCAATGTACCGCTTTGAAAAAATAATACTTAAGGCAACATATTCCAGATTGAGTTATTATAGTTATATACAAAAGTCATAGCACCCGAACAAACCCTGGGCTACCCACTAGTGTATTATATTGTTATTACATACCTAGGTATATAATAATTAGATATTTTCATACTTACCAAGAGAACATCAATTTTAATAACAACTAAATTGCGCATTATTACAAATTCTGTAGGTACACGTTTCTTCATAAAATCACTATTCATCGACCACTTATCCATGAAAAGCAGGTTAATAGTCTTTTTTCACTAATTCTGAACACGCTCTGTTTGCTTAGTAAACGACTATTTGTTTAAATTAATTTTTAAAGTTTAACGTATACTATACTAGTGCTTGTTGCATTTCAAGTGCCTAGGAATTTACAATTCACACAGCGCCATCTAGTCCCAAGCTAAGCAGAGCTTGTGTTACTGTGGGTACTAGACAACTGATATAAATACATGGATACATTTTTTTTGTAAATAAATACATATTATACATAGAAAACACCCAGACCGATACAAACAATCATACTCATGAATACAAATGTTTGTACCGTGCGAGGAATCGAACCCACGACCGGATCGTAATGCGGTGTGCTAAACCACTAGACCACCTAGGATGTCAATGGCTATCAATCCTTAACTATGTTATGGTAAAACTTTAATTGTGATTGAAACCGAGTATGAATTCCCAGGTACAGTACAGTAGGCAAATAAATTTTACCTTTTATACTATTCGAGCAAAGCTTCATGCATCTTTTTCATTTTCACACCAGGTCCTTCGTGGGGTAGGCAGATGGAGTCGAGTAGCAAATACTAGCAATACTTTTTATCCACTCTCATTGCTATCAACAAGTTGATTGTTGATTCAATAATTGAATGTTTAATATCAAACTTCTATGATTTTGAGGGATCGTTTGTATTTAAAATACAAAATTTTGAACATGTAAGTTATACTCGTACCATATTTTTTTGAAAAGAGTACTAAGAGTAGTGAGTAGAGCCTAGTTTCTTGCCCATTCATCTTAGGTGAAACTGGTTAAGTATGTGGGGATAGAATAAAAAAAATATATTAAGGTTATTTAAATGATATTTCTCATAGGTTATCAATACAATCCAGTTTGTCAATAGTCTATTTATTGGTGCCTAGTAGTCCCCAATTATTAAAATTCAAGCATAATTAATATAAATTTTAAATTTAAATGTTATTAGGGTTCTATTATCAAAGACTAAATGTAATTATATGTATATGTGAGTATGTGCGTATGTCAAATGGATGTGATGAAAGATTTTGTTAAGTATTATTATTTAAAAAATAGTTTTGGCTGTCCGTATACACAGACATATACATAGATAATTATTTTATTCGCGTAATAATTTGTACAATGAGGGACAAAGTTTACCTATAATTTCACGTTTTAAAATATACGTTATATAATTTTATTTAAATTTAAATTATATAGTTTCAATATATACATAATATAATTGAGAATCGCATTAGGGCCTTTATATTAAATAATTGTATAAAATCAGTTCAGCCCAGTGTGCTGTTTGCAACATGAATCTGGCTGGTCGGATGGTGCCTGCCAGACCATAACGCATGAAGGCCGTCAAACTGCAGTTTATCATTGTTTCGAGTATTAAATTACATCAGAACTTTATCAAACACGGAATAAACATAGTGTAGGACATTCGTTAATGTTTGGATTTATGACTAAGGTTTTTTGACAATTCGCACATTGTCCTCCAGTCCCAGCCTAAGCAAATCTTGTGTTGACAAAACTAGACGACTGATGCAAATACTTAGATATTTTTTGTAAACAAATACATAATAGACATAGATAAAACCCAGACTGATATTAACAATCATACCTTTGAATATAAATGTTTGCGCAGTGCGAGGAATCGAACCCGCGACCATTGGAAGTAAAGCGGTGTGCTAAACCGCTAAACCAACAAGGTCGTCAAATTGTAATGGCAATGAAGCCAGCGTCGGCTGTATACATGAACAGAATTACAGACGTCAAAGGACTTTGTTATTGGGATAATAATTAAAACTAGAGTCAGTTTTACACCTTCATATCCTGTAACTTCATTAACCACTTCATCGGACTGACAGATTAACGTTTACTGTGACTGGGAAAGTGTGTTTTCGTTTGTTAAGTTTATACGAATACAAGTCAGAATAAATTTTATAAATATATGAAGGCAATTTGTACTACAAGGACGGTCAGTTGCGTTGAAATTAAAAAACCCCTTCAAGTAGAAACATTCCTGTAAAAGCAAAAAACTAGATTATAGAAATAATAAATAAGAAAGACGTGTAATAATGTAGATCACAATATTTACCATAGAAATAAAAAAAAAATAACCAAATTTCCGCCTGCTACATATAAGAGAATATTGCACAGTGCTGCTATCTGCATTACGTTACTCGAATTTTTATAGCTGTGTTTGATACATAATATGAATATTTATTTCCTACTATTCCTAACAGATGGCGGCCCAACGGCTTGCCATCTAGTTGTGAATAGTAGTACTACTACAAATATGAAGCAGACTTAGACTTATTCAGTTTGCCAATAGATGTCGTGGCCTAAGGAAATTATTATATTTTTTATATATAATCATATGAATGATTCCATATATTTAAGTAAGTTAAAATAGTTTATATGAAATAATTAATAATTCACCATATTATTACCAGTCGGGTTTATGCTCTGATGTTAGAGGACCGGACAGGAGGGCTCTGCTGTTTCTCTTAGTTATTATAGAGAGATCATACTAATGTTTGTAATGATTATGGCCCCCCTGTGCTAACTGTTTAAATTTATTTACCTACTGTCAATGTATACCTAATTTCTATTTACAATATTTACCTCAATCACACTTAAAACTGTTGAAATACGTTATTTCATGTAAATCTTTGGTTTCGTGTATATCGAATGAACGCAAGAGTGATGTAGGGGTTCACAGTAAGATGCGAAGATGAGTTCTGATGATTCAGTATGAAAACCTAAACTTAATTGTGTTAATTGTAAATCTGTTTTATTGTTTATTGTTGTATTGGTTTAGCTTTTGAACAGATATATACTATTAAAAAGTATTTACTGTGCATAATGTGAAACTATTATGATATATGTTACTTACTTATTCATAGTGCGATATATTTTGATTATAATAAAACGACTTACACACATTATTAAAAAAGGGGCAATATCTCAGCAAAGGTAAAATTGGCTCAAGGACATGCTATGAGATATTGGCTCGCTACACAAGAGGCATCCAGATACAGTGACTGCTACGATATTGTCCCTGATGTTCGTGTCGTGTGTAGGCTCTTAATTAGCAGCATAAGTGGTCTTTACTTATGATTCTAAGCTATTTCAGATTTATGATGCAGATTAGACAGTGAAATTACAGAATAAGAAAGTTGACGTCTTAGTAAAAAAAATGTTATATTACTACTTTTGTAACTTACCATAACAAGGAAGTTCTCATTTCTAATGTATGTTGTGGGATATACTACCTTTCCTAATTCTACATAAACATTAATATTATTTTTTGCAATTGATATGGATCTCTCTATTATATCCTCTTGCCCCTCTATTAATTTTGTATTAATAATATGAGTTTGTTGTGGGAAAATTTCAATGTAATTGGGGTCGAATGTTTTTCTATTCCATTTATTTTTATTTACTTGCGATAAATTTCGTTCACAAAGCCCCTCTATCTAATTGTTAATATTTCTCTACATTTACTTATTTATATATACCTAAATTTCTAACATAAGCTACAACCTTTCAATGAATGATCAGGGATAGTAAAATAATACATCGGAATAAATGGCATAATTGTATTTTATTCCCTGAACAAAACGTGTCACATATTTGTCAAGGCAAATAAAATTGGCGTTACAAAAAATTATGTAAATAATCACATACATAGTATACAACATTGTTCGGTAATGTCCACATGGTACCTATCAGTTCATTTTCTTTTAAGAAGCTATTCTTAATCTAACGGCACAATTCATAGAAACAAGGGTGTAAGATTCTACTGCAAACACAACATCGAGATTCAAATCTAAAGGAACCTTTTGTTTTAAAGAAATATTTAGAATATTATAGACCAAAGATATTAGAATAGCGAAAGAAGAGAAATTATAAGAGAATATTGGAAATGCAAGGCATATTTAACAAACTAATCTATATAAATACTTAAATAGAGATATTATGTTTGCAGTATTTTTTACAGTCCCGATTTATATACTAAAACTTTAAATAGAAGGTACATAAATAAATACGCTAAAAGTCTTTCTTGGCTATAACGGCATATCAATATGCCTACTAATAATACTTTACAACAAGAAGTTAAACAGCATACTCATAAGTAATTCACAAATGTTTTTTAAAAACATACATATTTACATCAGGATTCACAACTAGTTACAGAATACATAAATTTGAAAGTTAAATTCAAATAAATTAAAAAATATTACAATAATACGTCAAACTACAAATAGAGAGATGACGTGGAAATGTTTAAAGGAACTAAAAAGTCTTAGAAGCTAATCAATAAATTAAAGATTATTCAATAAAATTACTAAATATCACAGAAAATGTACCCAATACTTATTTAACGAAATAGCGTATGGTTATACATTTAGAAATGACAACTCAGTGACATTTCATGTAACTAAGAGAGCTTAGCCAATAAATAAGTACAAAAATATTAATTTAATCGAATATTCAATATTTCATCCAGCTAATAGCGTCTTTCCCTACGCTTTCTTATCTTCTGTCTCCAGTGTTGCCTTCTCTTTTTTTGATTGGTTTGGAATCTTGCACACTTCTTGTTTTGTTTTATAGTTCTGTTTTTAGAATTGGTCATAACACAGAACCACCCATTCAAAAACTTGTCATAACGTTTAAATACTGTTACATCGTATTTATAACACTCGCCTTCATCGACTACATGTTTTAAGTCTTTTAAATAAGCCTTGTTGTCTTTCACTGGTGCTATCATACTGACATTTTCCAAATCGATTCTGATCTCTTCCATAGTACTATATAAATTATTGGTGATTTCAGGAAATGATTTCTTCCGTTTGTCCAAGTATCTGCCGAAGTCTACGTTAACTGCCGTTGTTTCTATATTGGATAAGAATTCTAAGATCGCGTAGTAGCTCATCAACGATTTGTATAGCTTCGGTATCAGATATTTAAACTGTAACAAAAGAAAGCAAACGTTAATAATTAAATTTAGTAATATTGGTTTTGGATTACAACTGCTGAAAATTGTTAACATTGTATACCAAATTGTAGAGTATTATAGGACTGCGAATAGCATAAAGCAAGATGTCCTAATAATCATTGTCGGAGTAATATAACAACGTTCATTAACAGGAAAATGTGGTATGCTTGGATTGATAATGTTATTATTGTATGAATGAGAATTCTTACGTACATATTAGATTTATGCAATAATATTAGTGAATAGGAATCGTTGGCAGAGGAAAAGAGAGGTTTACATAACGTTCAATAAAGACTGAACACTAATTATGACAATTAATTTTAACGATAAGTGTTCCTATACTTTTTGCAATATTAGTATTACTAATGTTATTAACTCTATTGATGTCACTGCAGAATCTGGGATGTGGATAAATTTAATCGAGTGCGTTTAATCGTAGTTTACTGCACATGCCATTTGTGTCGAGGCTATATTCAGTAGGTATTAGGCCAATAATCTAACTCCGGCTCCCTCGTGCTGATGTTATAGCTTAGTCATTTAGGTTTTCAATCCAATCGCTACTAGACTATACTTTAACAAATCAACAGTACTTGTAATTCAATTTAAAACTTACAATCTTACGTAATAAGTCAACAATCTATTAGCAATCGGAATACAAGTAGAGTGTATCTTATATGAAGAATAGAAACAGAGATGTTAATCATATTATTTTTATAACATTATATTTTAATGGTAAATATGGAGCAAAAATTTATATGACATGAAAATAATTACAACACAAAACTTCACATAAACTGGATTGACTCCTTAAGACCTTAATATATATATTACTGTCCTATATTGTATCATATATCTTATGCAATAAATCATCATAAAATTTAGGTGTTTCACCACACTATGTAATGTTGTCTATATGCTTGGCTTAATTTAATCTAAATTGACAAAAAAATATATAGTGAATATATTATTATTTCAACTGTGTCACTAAACTAAACTTGTATTCACAGTAATACCTGAAACATATGGTCATTACTATACTCTGAGTAATATTTCAGTTCAATCTTATTATAATGAATATTGAATGAAATCATCTCATTGATGTGAACAGTCACTGTTCCCGGAATTAATATAATGGTCAGGAGTTCATTAATTTCGCGACGTCTGCGATCGGCTTTAGCGCGAACTTCCTTTACAATTTTAATTAATATTATTTAATGATTCACAACAATACACATGTAACGGAGCCGATCGATTTGATATGTTGTGTCATCGCTCAGATTTTATATTATATCACATTGTCATAAAGCTATTACATGAAAATTAATCGTTGATTTTATGGTTCATAAAACTATTGCATGTTTTCCCTCGACGCGAGAAGACGCAGAAATATGGGTACTACAATAAAAGCGGGGCTTGTGAGCAAATATGGTTAAGTATAAAAGCTGAAAACCCGACAATGAACCGCACACACGTTTTAAATACCTAAGCTTAACCTGTGAAACGTGTTGGAGACAAATGCCTCCACTCCGGAATCGTAAGTTCACATTCGTCTCACTTGGACAAATAATGTGTTTTTAACATTTCGTGTTGTTTTGTTAAATCGTAAATACTGAGCAAACACTAACGTGAACAAGTACGGGCGACCGCTTAAGTTAGAACTCTTGTCAACGTGAAAGCACACCGCCTTACTTATATACTTATCTAAAAGCAAGTCAGCCCTTTATTCTAATACTGAAAAATCTATATTTATATATATATTATAATTATTTTTATTTATAATAGCTATAATACCAAAAGTCATAAGTAAATATGATATTACGTGCAATAAGTTAAAGTCAGTCCAACCAACCTCTACTTATTTTTATATTTCTTCTACTATACTATGTCAGTAGTTACATACTATTACAAAAGTCCATTTGTGATATTTATAAATAGTGAAACAGTGGTAAACACTAATATACTAATAATATAATATACGTACGTCACTGTTTGTATTCCAACGTGGGTCATAATTCTATTTTTGTCGACTGACCATAGATCGAATTTGCGATATTCTCATTGGAAACCTTAGAGTACCGGATATCGGCGAGTATGCAAAAAAAATGTATTGTAGTAGAGAAACGAAAGGATATACATACATTGGAATTATATTAAATACCGCTTGTAATTTCTTTAGATTAGCTAAAGGATTTATTATTAGTCAATTATTATTTACCAATATTACTCAAACAAAATTAGTTGATATTAGGTCCATGTTATTCTTTTGTCGAGCCTTATGTTTTAACGACTCATTTGAGTAGTATATTTAATTTTTGAATTGTTCGTAAGTCAACTTAAGTCGGAGCGAAGCTGAGATCACTTGAATTCTAACGCTTTCCTTTGCCCAATGTCAAATATTTGAATTTCTTAAGTGGCCGTACATTGACGAACTGTCTTAGCGTATGCAAGAAGTGTTCAATATTCATTGCTGTGGGTACTACACGACTCGGCACTGTTGTGTTAGAAAATAATTTAGTGCATGTCCCGCTACAGCAAGCGGTCTCGTAATATCTAAGGACACCGGACACTTTAAATACACACATATTTATTGTCTCGCATTAAGTTTTGTGTACTAATTAGTGGGTGTTCAATATGAATACGTAATAGAAAGTATCGTGGTCCAGATGTGTTCCTTCAGTAAATATAGAGATTTTGTTGAGCCGTTAAACATTAGCTATATCTGGGTATATGGAGCTCTTAGAAAACAATTGTTGATTTTGAATACAATTAGTATTGATCACAATGGAAGTATGGGATCGTGTAATTTTTTTTATTAACTGTGCCAAATAATATGCATAAACGGCGTCGGGCGATGGTCGGGATCGCGTGTGTAAGGCGAAATCGAGCAGTGCCAATCTATGCAAATTTCCATGAAACATTTAACTTGTTGCTTTCTGTGGTTCCTTCCATAAATAGGTACTAAATTTACCTAATTAAAAGATGGCACGCGATGACAGCCACCAATTGTTTAATTTATGAGTAGGTACTTTACTGTACTCTCCCTGTGGCTAATTCAATTTAAAATTAATTCATTCTGCATTGATATCTATAGTTTCTTTACAATTAAGCTCAATTAATGAAGGGCGAAGCTTTTAGAAATTACATATAAAAAATATTTTTTATGTTTAAATCACATTCAAGTAGTAGGCGTTTATACGCCTAGCTAACTTGATGTAGGTAAGTACTTAATATAACTTTGCGTAGGCGTGGCGCTTTATAAAATACTTAAAACCACGTCAATTTTGCAAACGGAGAGCGGCACTGATAATTAAGGGTTTGCCGTACTAGTTATTGCCCTTAAGTACAATGTGAAGTAAATAAACGTCTTACAAAGGCTGTCCGCGTGTAATTTGGTCCGGCCAAACCTCATTTATGTTGCTACGGCGAAGACTGCACAGTTAATGCACGCAGATCTTTTGTTTTAAATAAAGAAAAAATAAATTAAAAATATCACACAAAAACAATGAAGAAGAAAAAACGATGGGCCGAACCAGTACCTACACCTTGAGAGGCAAAGTGATCGACCGTAGTGATTATAGTGTTTAGTCCACTTATTAAAGTTAAGGAAGCGTTCTTATCAATAATATTGCATAATGATATATGTATTTTGTTAATATTAATGAATGAGTCAATGGAGGTGTATTAATATTCAACTATTGCGTCACAAAAGAATTTTTAAACATGTCAAAACAAGTTGGATGTGGACAAAAAGATCTAGCTCGGATGACAATTTGAATACTCCAATTACCATAATTTTTTTTTTATATATAATAGCACGTCAGTATTAAGTTTAATGACATCATCTACTGTAACTATTAGAAAGAAAGAAAAGTTCTCTTTAGATGGAATTGGTTACAAAATATATACTCACTCTACGTTCCGCAAATGATGATTGAGATTTGTTTTGATGTTTTAGACGGAACAGAATTTCAGTGAAGTTTGTATGTGGCAGTCTAATCTTAGTGCTGTTTCTATATATGTTAGATTCATTTAAATTGCGCCAATGTTTCTTGAAGTCAACTAATGTATGTTCTAATTTACGAACAATATTGTCCATTTTTGACACGTACATCTTATTTAGCCTCTGATGTCGCCTCTTATGCTTTGCATGAATTTCGGGCTGTTCTAGCGTTTGTTCTTTGGTTAATTTTGTCATATTATCTTGCGACCTTCCATGTCTTTTATGCGCTATTGAAGCAGCTTCGGATTGCGTCAGGCACATTATTATTGCTAGTATACACGTAGCTACCAACAGCTTTTTCGAAAAACCTGTAAACAAAACAACACTGTTACCACTAGTCACATTTTTCACTACGTACCGACACTGATAAATGTTAGACCAATACTGAATTATTGAAGGCATTGCGATAAAATAATAAATATCAAGGGAATACCAGATAATTACATGTCATGCTGTTATCACTATTAGGGTGATAATGTAGGTGTTATCCTATTAAGAAATTGAAACGAACTGATAACGGGTGGTGAGTTCAGCAAATATATATATGCGACGAGATACGGGACTCGTGCAAAATCTTGTATATACTAGTAGGTAATATAAACAAAGGAAGTAAGGACTTCAACGTCTCCGATAATGATAACATTTCTTCCGCTGCGATTAATTAAATTTGTTACAAAATAATTGATTGCTTTGTAATACTTGACCGATTATTTATATGGCTGGGGAATTTAATTTACATTATTGGGAGTGGTATTAATAGTTTTTTTATATAGTTATAATATGTAAGGCTCTTTATTACGAACAGAGAATATGTCATTATTTGGTATATAATGATTATATTCCACATTACATTTGGCCAAGGTAAAAACGGACTCACGAATATCAATCATTCGTCCCGTAATATGTTACTGTTAAAAAACTCGTTACTTCAAGTGCTCGCTGTGCTCCCGCAAACGAGTGCATTCCTATTAAGTGCCGGGAGTTACCGGGACTCACATAAAAAATAATAAGCTCCGTGATTATCGTAAATGCAGCACTACTCACGTATGTGTACGGCTTCTTGTTCAATCTACATCTACGACTTTCTCAGTCACCATTAGATGCAGATGGGATCGCGCGATGGAAGTGTGTTTTTACCGAAAGAGACTCGATCGTAACTATTTTCACGCACTCCTTATCATTTCATTATTAAAATTAAAATAAAAGTACAAATTAAGACTTGATAGCGGTTACTATCAAATTTGAACAGAAAGTTTGCCGTTAAACGTATATATTTACCTACACAATTCATAATGTACGTTAAAAACTACTAGGTGAAACGAAAAAATTGATTCATTTTATATGTGTAACTATTTCTTGGAAATATTATCTTTATTGATACTTAATATGCTTGTAATGGAAAAATCGGTCCAAAATAAATAATTAAGAAAGCTATAAAATCATCATTGTGATGTAAATACTTTTGTTTTGTTTTGTGTGGTAACACAAAATGCAACACTTTTGAGATGCACGCTTGTTGCTAAGTTTTATACAATTTAATGATTTCCTTTTATTAATTTTAAATACTATATAGTATTTACTATTACTTGTAGGCATGTTTGTAAGTCTCGAAAAAGTATTATTTGAAAACGTGATGCCCATTTGTTCGGAAAAATAACTTGTTTTCGATTTAATGTTTGACTGTTATTGAAGGGTTTGATGTTTTGCGCCGTGGCCATAAAACATATTTTATGTACGAACGCTGCCTGGCAATTCTGTGCGACGTTTCAAACTTTAAATGGTGGAAGCACCACCGACTTTGCAACGGTGGTCTTTGTCCGCGCGAATGCTAAAACCTAGAAAGTTACCCTTTCATTGCGTATTTACTATTTTTAACTGTCAATAGCAGGTAATAAAAGGCAATAAAGTTAACGCGTTTTGTTTTATAGCAGCCGTTTTGTGACCGCCGTGAAAGTTAGTATATTTATTTAAACAATTATTTATTCAAGATAAAAGAATGTGTTCAATGCAGTGGTATGTCGCCCAAGTAGTGTGGTAAAATTTTCCATTTTTAAAAAGAACAGTGTGTTACAGGAGTGTACATGTTACAACTAATAAATGTGACAAAGTAATAAATATTTAATTTATAAAAACTTCAGAGTTGTGACGTTTATAGTATAGGTTATTTTGTAATAGATATCTCCACATAATATAGAAAATTAGGTAGGTAGGTAATTTGGACGTCACTGTATTTTACCATGTGCACTGCAATTCCGAAAGTCTAAGATGCTTTCGCACCCTGTAATTTCATTACTATTTTATCTTCCAAAGACTTCCCCTGTATCAAATCGCAGCGGGAGCCTAAGATTCAAAATAAATCAAAATATATACATTAAAAAAAAAAAACGGTGAAACAAATAAAAGGGGAAAAAAAAACTGTAACAGTTTACAAAGAGCTACTATACAGACAAATGGGAGAGAGAGGTATCCACGCCGTCTGCATGGGTACTTACTACATACAATGTCTATAGAGTCTCCAGGCATTTTTTCTGCTAACCTACTGCTCACATTTCTTTTGGTATAAAAATCGCAATGTGTTTGATAATATCAATTACATAAAATATGACGTAAATGATAGTACAGAGAGGTTTAACAAGATGTCATTACGTCACTTAAGGATAATTGTCGGAAAATGGTCAGTGATTCATTAGGTCAATTCGTGTCGTTGACAATATAATGTATGCCATGTAAATACAGCATTACCATGTATAGGTGAAAACTGTCGCGTACATAAGTTTGGTGCACTGGACATCTACTGTCGGCTGTGTTGGTTAGTTTTCATTCTATAATCTATTGTCGATGGAGTTAACAGCATACAATGTTATCGACATCTAATTGTTATATTTAATGTGGTATGCATGAAGTGATTTACTCATCACGGGGTTTTCCTAATGCTTATCGCAGGGTACATTTTCATATTTCGAATTTTAAAAATGTTTTTCTGGTAGGTAAAAGTTTAATTGAAAAATTAGTTTCACCGAGGTTGACTTTAGTCTGCGTGGATACCGTATTATCTATTTAGGTGACCACAGTTCTCCTAATGTAGTGCTAGTAAAGGCAAGACATGAGTTATATCACGGGTGTCATATCATAACATGATATTCGTAGTGACGTTCATGTACATAGACGACGGTTACCGTTTACGTGAGACATATTATACACTATAGTTTATACAAATTATATAGCCTATTAGTAATTCGTATTTATGAGTAAAGATATACTATGTGGAAGAAGGATACATTAGTAATAAGGACTATTGGCTTCCTAGCTAGCATTGTTTCCTATAGGATACAATGCTAGTCTCATAAGACTGATCTTCACGCGTTTCTCTCTATCAACCAATGTTAATATTTAAAACTATTACATTCGTGGTGGCGCTTGTTGACTCAATCGACTCAAGTTATATTTAGACGAAAACGCAACTATTGCGCATTTTTACTTAATGGTAGAAATATCTAAGAACTTGAAAATATCATTTTAAATGTGTGATTTATTGAATTAATGATTATTAATGAATAATTTTATCTAACCTATGTTCGCATTTACAACAAACACAAAAGAGTCATTACAAAGTAATTAAAATTTGAATATTATTTTATAGTACCTTAATTTGTCACGAACCATTATTCGAACATGGAGATTATAGTTCATTTATGTAAATCAATACTAATAGACGTATAACATAAACAGTCTGAGATGAATTAAATAATTAACATCACCAAAAAAGAAAGCGAGCGAGGTAATCGAATGTTTTGAATTCTAAAACTAAAATAAAGTATTGGATGACATAGCGGGTCGGACTTCAGCGAAAAATGTCTTTGATCGATTACCGACGGCGAATGTTGATCATTCCCACACGATTCGCTGTCTAGGCGATACCGAGTTCTTTCTTAATATGTATTGTTCTCTTCCAAAAATGATCAATTGAATTCGCTTGTGCATAGATTTGAATAACAAAGACAGATGTGACTTATATGCAATAAATGTACTTACCTATAAGTAACTTAAAATTTTAAGACTTGAAGATGTACAATAAAACGTTTCTAAATTTATTCAAATGTTCAACATTTTTTTGGTGTTGTGTTCAAAATGTTCTTTTTTGCATATAAATAAACAATTCGTTTGCAGTTTTAATAATCCAGATGAAAATTACAAGAAAAAGCAGTTACTTGAAACTTTATAATGTTTACGCAAGTTCTTGGAGGTGTCAAGGTGTTAAAAGGATCTTTACACAAAAGACTTGCACGTAATATATTTAGGTAGGTTTAACCATCAAGTTGGTAAGGTTATTTTTAAATTATGATTGATTTGTTAAAATAGAGTTAAATATATTTAATAATAGTATCGAGACGTAATATATAATAACTTACGACAGACTCTGTAAAGTCCACCCCGTTCAATCATAACTTATGTCCTACTGAAGACAGTAGTGTGGAACACTGAATTATAAGAATGAATCTATTAAGTAATTATTTTATATTATAGTCTAATTACTATATTTTAATAATTTAGATGTTATGGATATATTCTGCTTCATATTTCTATATATTTAAAGACGTACGATCATTATACTTAAACCATTTCAGGTACAACATAATTCATATAGATAAAATGTATGTAACATATCAATACGTTATTCTAGTTGCTAGTTTCCTTCTTTCATTATTTGCCCGCCCTCTAGTGGTAAATTTATGAATAAGTACCTAAGGTAATTCGCACTCAATGAGGGAAGGAAATGATATACTAATGAAAAATAACATTTATACTGTTAATTATATTGGTCTTCCTCAATTAGGTAACCAATGTTTAGTATCACTATCAATTTTTATAAATAAACGTATTAGTTATGGAAGTACTTTTCTACATTCCTTTTAAGTTTGATTTAAATATGGTAAATTAGAATAGATGCGGGATCACTTATGCAATTCCATGTACCTACCATATAATTAATATAATTTCGTAATACCGTCGGTAGGTATAAAAAATAAAAACAAATAGCACACACCAGCTAAAAAGACATCCATGAACAACGCATTGATGTAGATCCTTTGCGCAAGTCCATGTTCATCCGAACTTTTAAATTCCCGATTTGCCAAAGTGGAAATCGTATCTATGAACTTCAGGTGCACTGGAAACACTCGCGGAAAATTAAACGGAACACAAATTTATAAATGGAACACTTTGTATTTAAATATGGAACTATTATGAGTTCGCTCGAATCGGTCGTGTGTCACCGTCGTGGTGCAAAGAGCGTTTGAGACTGGCGCGCGAGCAGCCTCCACTCGCTGAATGGGCACCGAAATGCGGCACAGTACATGAAATAGCCGGTCAAATACTGCGAAAACCCTTACCCGCCCGCCGGAAAGCGAACGATGGCCCGCTCGGAGACGTCATTGAGATACATTTTGAGGTAAAATTGTTTCATGGTATTTCACATTATGTCACCTCTAAGTTATATTGTAACATTAATAGAATATTACCGGTAACACCGTAATATTTACCTATGTAGGTAAATATATTTAATTGAATCATTCATATAGAATTTATGCACATGTTCAATATGTAATTTATTATGTACATCTATTATAGTAAGTTGGTATTTCGTGATTAGAAGTCTAATTTGGAATATTATATTTAAAATTCGATTTAAGAGAAATTTAATTAAAATAAGTGTTTTAAAATTTTTTTTTACACATGCTTCATAAAACTAACCACGCTAACAAAAATGTAATATGATGCGCAGACAAAAACAAAGTGAGCACTTACTAATGCATTATTTATCTAATCTAAAATATAATATTTGAATTAAGATCTTGCAATATTGTTAAAAATGTATTAACATTCCTCTCCGCGCCATTCACTAACCGTATCTTGTATAAATGAACATTTATTCGTTGAGACCCGCCGATGAATCATCGATGAGTCTATCCTAAAGTGAGTTTTTATCGGACATTATAGTTGCGTGGTGTCGCACGCCTTCACACGTCACGTGAATCTATTAAGTGAAATAATATAAGATGCCAATTTATACTATTAGTTTTATATTATTTTAATGTGTACTAGGCGAGGAACTGAAAGGAAAAAAAGATTTTGTGATATTAATTACTACAAATTTTATATGTGCATTAGGTAATATTACACTCAGTTATTTGCGTAATGGGTAAACCAAGTTATTATTACTAAACCTCATTGTTCTAGTTTTAGAATAAAGTATATATATACATAAATATATATAAGAAAATATTAGTCACACATTCTCGAGATAAAATATGCTTTATCTATTGTTAAATTATATGAATTAAATAAGATAAATCTTAAATTACCTAAACATTTAATAATTAATAAAGATGTTAATATATCGACAGCGATGTGCCCAAAACGAGCCTATATCGAATACTTGAAAACTACTTTCGATTTCACTTCACAGTGTGAATCAGGTCCGTCACGACCAAACAAGTTAAAAAAAATAATATTGAACACTAAGCAAACCGAGCTAAAAAATGTCTGAGAAAGACGTTGGGTTCTGACACTGACATAGATACTTGAGGATCATACGGAAAGGTATTTTGATCATAATCCTTTAGTGATATAACAATACCAAACAACACACTTAGTATACTGCTCACTACCAAATCCCCATTTAGAGAACTTATCTGGCATGTGGTTAATGGTATAAACATTTGAACTAGCAAGTCGAGTATTTACATTGACACGTTTTTTGTTCCGCCGCTAACAAGCCATGCCATTGTACTCGCCTGTTTATTGATACTGTCAATAAAAGATTATTATGCCCATGATTAATATTTCCCGAATACCGGAGTATTCTTTTGTTTTAAGTAGACATAGGTCATTCATATGGATTCACAATAATTGAGCAGATTGAACTTTAAAATGGTTATACGAGTGTAACACACGTGAAAATTGTAAATTGGGCACTTATACCTCTTTATTAAAATCCTATCCCTCCTGTTAAACACAAAGCCTCTGCATACCTTCTTACTATTTTTTTATTAAATTTACAGAGGGTACAGATAATTTACCTTTGCTACTAGAGAAGGATTGTTATTAATTAGTACCATACGCTTTATTTACAATCTTAACGTGATCGCACTTAAAAATCATTATTGTCGATTCCTAGTGAATTCACCATGATGGGCTAAGTAACCTAATTTCGTTGTTGTGTAAACACCCTAAGATTATTATAATGATTCTTCACTTATACCTCGCCATATATTATAGATCACCATACACTTAAAATGTAATGGTACAAAAGTATTTTATTTCGTTCAAGTATGAATTTATCTAATTCATACTTTGAACTTTATGGTTCAAAATAATTGTGATCAAAAATGTTTTGAATTTTTTTATTAATTTCATACTTTACTATATAAGTACGTGACAAATGAACAGACAGGTTAGACGACTGTAGTGCGTTTCTAACAGAAGTACAACTGAATATTTAATTACCTAGCAAGAAGAGAATTATTCTATTACAATCTTAGTTCAATAAATAGAAACCATTATGAAGATTGATTGAGACAATAATACGTAATTAGTGTACTGAATTATTGATCTTTTTTCTCGTGCACTCAGGAGATTCCCATCTAATTATGTGACATAATGACATAGTTCTCAACGGTGAGTGATTTTTTATGAAAATGTGTATTCAATGATATGCTAAGGCTTTTCCGATGGATGTCTCATCGTTGAGTCACAGTGTTTCCCGAATTTTCACGGATTATAATACGTAGGTGTATGAAAGCCTACAAAGTTGGAGTCATGTTACCATTAAGTTCACTATTACTCATTCGCTGATAGAATTGTTGGCAATTGATCTTTTTACAGTTTCAATCTGTATACTAATATTGTTGCCGGTAGCATGGCCAGGTGATCATTAGGCGAAGTGTTGCTCTATTATCATGTTTATTTTCATTGTATTTTTTGTCATGTTATTTCGAAATATATATTTTTACTTGTACTGTTATGGTGAAGAAATAAATGTTTAATTATATATTTTTTTCTTTATAAATATTAAGAAACCTTATATGACATACATTGCCAACTCCAAATAAAGGGATGAAGGCTTAGACCATGATGAAATATTAGGAATCCTCGCTACCCTCAGAATTATTATTGTAAAGTGAGTTATTTGTTCATCTCAATAAATTGTGTGACTTTACATAATATTTGGAGTGGTGAAAGACAAAATTATGTCTAGTCACGCCGATGAAGTCGCGTGCACAGCTAGTAAAATGTGTGTCATAGTCGAATCGATTAAGAGGTCATAAGTGGGTTTAGATTTTATCTTTATATATATATATATGCTTATACTACAATGATAGATAAAATGTAAAACAACAATATGCTGTGTTTTAAGTAACTCATTAGATATTGCATTATAATATACTCCCATCTGGATCAATAATTCAATTAATGCAAAAAGTATTTAGAAAAAGTTTTAGAATCTGTTTAACAAAGTCCAAATTTAAATTTTATAATATGTTTTTAAGAATCAGTTTCTTAAAACTAAGGAATTTTGAATCCTTCACAGTAATTCCAATTTTAAATTTCAAAAGCAATTCCAACTCATAAATTCCTTTACAAACATAGTTTCAGCAGCTAATTTAAGTTAACCGTAAACTTATGCTTCCGCGACAGTGACTAGCCACTAGAGTCTGTTTGCCAATGGCATTGTTCACAAGCCACAATATAAATCACACTGTCTGTGTGTGATTCGAAAGAGCCAGTGTATTTGGTACACCTTTAACCCCTTTAAGTAAAGATTAAGGTTATCCGCAGGCCAGCTTCACTTGGAGTCGCTTACTGCAGTAAAGTAAAAATATATATTTTGTTAGCGCAGTAAGCAACTGAAATCGTACATTAATATTATATAATTTACAATATATAATATAAAATATACAAAATTAGTATTAAAAAATATCATTCTTTTTATTGTGGGAAAACCTTATATATATTCGCCTAAGACTAGGTTTAATAATGTAGGGTAAAATCCCTAAACATTATGTTAATTTACGTTAACTTTAAGCATAAATTACTAGTATTTCTTATTCATATATAATTTTTGTTTTGGTAAATAACTGTACCTACTATAATAGTACAAACTCATAATATATTATATAAGAGTATGTATACGAGTATATAGTATACTTTATATTTCACTAAGTATAAACGTTTACAATACTATATAAATCATAGGCGGTATTGTAAGCTTCGATGCAATTTTTTAACTCATTAATATATTTTGAGTGCTCTAGAATAGAAATGCATGAGGGTTGCCATATGCGCCACATTGTGCATAATTATTACTTTTCATTAGGTGGCTGTCATCATGTTTGTCTTTCCATCTTACAAATATATAGGTACAAAAAAAAATATATTTTGTCAATACTATGATTAATGTAAAAATTATTTCACATAAATGTCATAAAAATACAAATGAATTACTACTTAATTCGTAAAAATTGAGATGTTTATGCAGATGCGAACTTTTTAGATATCGGTTTCAAAAATTATTTATACTTGTTTACTGATTAAAATGAATAATTTTAGAGAAAAGTATTTCAATAAAAATGATATTAGGAATTAACTTTTTCTTTATCATGAAGTGTAATAGTCTGTAGTTTTTTAGTCATGGTAAGTTTTTTTTAAATTTATGATAGCATAAAACGAACTTAAAAGATATTATTTTTTTTGACTTGGATATTATTTAACCACTTTACGTCAATGGTCGCGGTTATTGATCTCTGACTGAAATATTTGGGTCGCGATACCTGTCACGATACAAATATTTGTATTTATGAATATGATTGTCTGTATTGGTCTGGATATTTTCTGTATATTTATAAAAAAAGTATTTAATTATTAATATCAGTGTTCCAAAACTTAGTAGAGCTTATGTTATTGTCAGATAGTGTGTTAGTTGTCTTTGGTTACTATTATTATATTACGTAGTCATAGAAACGCTTCGCCGTAAAAATACTATTGCATAAAAGTACTAAACTGGTATATATTATAAAAGTATACCTATTTATTATGTAGTTGTATGAAGGTGATTGAACTAAATTCTAACTGGGATTTAAATCGGAATTAGAAGTGAATTGTGTATTCGATGAAATGCATACTTGTTACAGGTAGTTTGTTATCGATGCGATTACTTTCAAAATGATAACAAGTGAACCTATACTGCAAGTTCAATCATCTTAATATGACCGATAAAATTATCTATATTTATTTTGAAAAAGTAATCGTATTAG